TGTAATATAATTTTCGAATAAGAAGAATTTTCCCGTATTGCATATTTCGATTTTTCTAAAATATATTCAAAATTTAATTACCATTCATTCATTTTACTTAATATGATAATGACAAATTCAGTTGATTTTTCTAGAAAACGTACGAAAATATCACAAAAATGAGTGATCAATAATAATATAATATAAAATAATAATATAAAATAATGAAAAAATGACATATTTAACTAAAAAATGACATATTTAATCAAAAAAATGACATGTTTAAATTCCATTTTGAGAGTGAATAAAAAACGGGATGAAAAAACGATATTTAGACGTAAGTCTATAAATCATGCTACCGCATACTGAATAGATTTGACATCTATAACAACATATAATGAATCGGGAATGTGGAATGTCAAAATAGCACTATGTTATGTTGAAGAATTCCTTTAATTTTTAATGTCAGCATAGAAAAAATAAATCTTGAATTATTTTAATTTTCTTGTACAGGTGCGAAACATATAATTTAAATGGTGTTATGTATATTCAAATATATGTATATTGTACATATAACATACATATATAAATTTGTTCGAATTTATATGAATAGGAACGTATGTACCTACATACTTATATAAGATTCCATGCGTGTTTGTTTGTTTTCTTTCTTTCGTTTTTTTTTTTTATTTCAATTTTGATTTTTCTTTTTTGTTGCGGTTATTCTGTTGTTTTGGTTTTTATTTTATTATATTTTTTTTTGAATTCTTAACATTCCAATAGATAAATAAATGTATCTATAGTTAAAAGTATGTTTACCCACAATTTTTTTTTTTTAATAATTTTTTTATTAATATTAAGGCGAAAAGAACGAAATTTTTTTTAATTTTTTTACGTTTTTTTTTTTCTTTTCTTTTCTACTGAATAGATTTTCCTCAAAAGTTAGCGCGAGCTTTTTAAGGCGTTGGGTTTTCTCTATATTGAATTTAGTTTTGCAAAAAATTTTTTTTTAAATTGTGGTACGGAATTTTCACATGTACCTATAATTATTACATTGTGCATGCATACAAATAAGTATGAACAATTACGTTTTTGTATTTACATACATACATGTGTGTTGCATATGAAATAGTATACACACATACATATTTTTTTATGAATGTTTATTATATTCATATAATTTATATAATATTTACCTATAGATAAAAAAAAATACGATGTTTTTTGTTTAAAACTGTTATCTGTTGTAGATTTTGTATGATTTAAAAAAAAAAAATTTTAAATGCATACGACATACATATTTGCATACTTATACTTACGTAAATTTTACGTAAATGTTATGTATGAAATGTAAATGTACTTATATATTTAGGGCATCACTGTCGTATATCAGAATTAAAAAACAATAATTATTTGGAGTCACTCAAAAAAAATTTGTTATTGAGTTCAATTCGTTGTTGTCAAATTTTATTAAAAGAATTTAAGGACACATTACCCAACTTTTGACATTGCAAAACGTCAAATTTTTTAGTTTTCCAAAACCTATTGATTGATTAATTTTAGGTATGACGATTGATTTATTTGCAAGTTACTTTGGTATCTTAACAGAAATTAAATGATAGCTTGAAAAATTTCATATGTAAGATTTTTAAAGCGTTTTCTAATACTGGCGATTTGATCTACTTTTGTTTCGTTGGGAAATAATTTTGGGATTTATTTTACAAAGAAAATATGATTTTTGTTATTATTAATAGTCTTATATTTTTGCTTACCTATTTTAATATACTTACTATTTTTTAATTTATTATAATTTTTACTTACTAGTTCTAAATAAATAATCTCAAAGATGTCAAATTTATTTAAGAATATTTCCTATAATATAAGTAAGGTATTTGCACAAAGGTGAAGTTATAAAAAAAACTCTTTATTTTCACAGATTTCAAATGTCATTGTTTATTGAAGATTTTGACAATTCGTCTAATATGGGTTCGATAAAACGAGAATGAGATAAAGTAGCGTAAAGTAAAAATTGTAAAATCTTCAACAGTGAGCAAAAATCTGTTATTTTATTTATATACTTATGCTTTGATTATATTCTAAGCTTATTATTGTAGATTTTCTAATTATGCCGGCGTTTTCGGAAATTACGATTAATAACTTGTAAGCACATTTTTGTTGTTAGGAAAATTCTTGCTCATTAAGTAAACTATAATACAAGAATTGTTTACTATAAAGTTGAAAATTTATTAAGTATATTATTCTTGTAAATTTTATATAATATACTTAATATATTTTAAAAAATTTTGCCGAAAAATATTTAATGGGAGTAAATATTTTTCATGTTTATCATTTACAAAGCTTCACATTTTTTTTTTCTAACCTATTTACACTTTCAAATTATAATTATAATGTAATGAGTCAGTGCTGAAAAAGAGATCAAAAATGTTTGACATTATGTACAGACATATACATACAAACACATATATATATCTATACATTATTATTATATTTATGTATTTCATAGTTAAATTATTACCTAATAAGAATTTATTAAATAAATAAGGGTCGATAATTCGATTGAAGAGTTACGTACATAAATCATACAGTGCTATTTCAAATTATAAATTCAAATATTTTATTTATGAAAAAAAAAAATAAAGCAGTCAAATTTTGTTAAATGTAAATATACAAAATTACTGCATAGTCAATGTGATATTTGACATTCAACGATATTTTTTTTTTTTGGAATGTCCATGACGCATTAACGTAAAATTAAATTTATACAAAAAATTAAAATCATTGATATTTGGACTCCGAGGAACCATTAGTTACATTTAGTTGCATTTTAATACATCTTGTAAGTAGTCGATAATTGATGCAATTATGTGCGATTTAATATGACATAATATAAAAAAATGTATGAATTTCAATGGGGGAATGAACATGGCGCTTTTAAACGATTTTTATTTGTACATTATTTATAAGTCACAATACATGCATTAATAAGAATTATAATCAAAAGCATTTAAAGTACAAATTTGACAGCACAAAATTCTGAGATATGTGTATTTTTATTTATTCAAAAATTTTTTTCAAGAGTAAATAGTATAACATTTAAAAAATTGATAAACAAGAAAGTTTATGTGATGTAATTTAAATGATTATGTAAAACATTAATGGTAACAATAATATGGTATACGATATTTACGATATTCATTGACATTTCTTTTTCTTTAGAATTTTTTTTAACAAAATCCTGTTCAAAATGAGTTTGTGTAAATGATACTCATTTTTGGTACTCATCTTTATTTCCAAATGTTTTCACAAATTTTTTTTTTTTGAGAACATAAATCAATAATTTAGTAGTTTTGGTTTACTTTAATTAATTTATAAATTTACTTACAATAATGCAAACATAAGAGTACTTTAAACAAGTTTTTGTCTCATTCCGCCCGCGGAATACAAATCGGCCGGAATTTTTGAAAAAAAAAACTATTAATAAAAAATTTGCAACCATAAAAAACTTTTAATGCAAAATATCGTAAATCGTTTTGGTTTCGTTTAAAATTTCGTAAATCATTTATTTTGATTTCGCTCAAAAAGTGCAATATGACTCAAAGCGAATTCACTGTATAACAGTGCCGCGTATTTTTTTTTTTTTAACTTTAGGTTGAAATTTAATTCTTATTCGAGTTCTTTTGTAAAGTATTGTAAATATTTATAAGAAAATTACTTAAGTATGTGTATACCAGAGTTAAATAATAAAATTTCTTGAAGCGGAAAATGTTCTGAACTTTTTTTTTTTTGTTCTCAGTTTTTCTCTTTTTTTCTGTTTTTGTTATGATTCAGTCAACATTATAAAAAAATTTAATGTTTGAACTTTTTGTTTTGTTCCACTTTATAAGTTTGTGGTGCATCTACATTTTATCTACCTTTTACTGTTGTTTTTATTTGTGTTTTTCCTTTTCTTTCTTGACTTTGTAGGAATTTTTTTGTTGTGTGTTGTCCCAAAAAATCAAACGAAAATCTGAAAATGTTGACTATTTAACTTTATAATTTTTTATTTATTTATTATATTTTTTTTTTACAGTTTATATAGGAAAATATAATATATATAAATGTTTTTTTTTTTGTTTTTTTTTGTAATAATCATTAAAAATTGAATGACTCATAATATGAGAATTAATCACCTCTGTTTTTTGTTTTTTTCTTTTTTACTTTCAGATATTTTGATTTTGACGCTTCTTTGTCTCCTTTGGACACAATGTTAAAAATTTATTAGCTTAAAATTTTTCCACATACATACAATAATAATATTGATAATAATAATTTACTGGTGGTGCTAGAGCTACTTATTCATTTACTCTTCTTCATTCACCGTAATTCTATTTAAAAGAGTATTTGAAGCGCCTAACCGAACGTAGACACTTATATAAAATTCAACATTCATAATTTTAATATTAAAATTTTTGTTTTTTTTAAATATTATAAAATAAATGCATACTTGCTATGTTAAGCATATAGTTATAGTTGTTTATATGTACGTATGTTTGCGCATTATTATCTTATGAGTGTCAGTAAACATATGTTTGTTGTTCATTATTAAATTTATGAAAGAAAATCAGTAAAAAATAAAAATTATTTTATTGTTGTTTTTTACACACCCCTACATACAATAATAATAATGTGTTATAATGTTATTTTAATTTATATAAATATATAAAAGTATATGGTAAAATAACTCAAAAAAAAAAAATTTATTTTAAGAAAATTATTATTGAAAAAAAGAACAAGTAAGACAAAAAAAAGAAAATATTTGTGTTTTTTTGATCTCAAAGTTAATTTTTTTCTATTTAAAAAAAAATAACAAAAAAAAAAAATAATATGAAAATTTAAATTATGAGTAAATAAGTAATAAATTTATAAAATTTTTTTTTTAAAAAATATTAGTACATACATACATATACATATTTAAATATGTATACATAAATTATTACTTTGTGTCGTATGCATTAATGCAAAATAATAAAATTATTAAAATTATTAAAAAAATAAACATAAAAACACCTAAGAAAGTGAGACTTTTAATGAAAGAAAAAGAAATGTGCCTTAGATTAAAAAGAAAGAATACAAAAAAATATACAAAAATAATTAAATATTAAATAAAATACAAGAAAAAAAAAATATATAAGTAATATTAAATATTAAAAATAATTTATTATACATCATTTGTTATACGAAATTATACAATAAAAAAAAAATAGTATTAAATAGATAGATGATTAAATTTGTAGATAATATTTTAAATTTTATAATTGTTGTGTTAAATTAATTATGTGATATGACTACTTATAAATTTCAACAAGAATGTATCCAGCTGGCGGAAAAGCGCCTCCTTCATCGGGAAGATCCGAAAATTATGCTGCACTTGCATTAGAACGAATTAAACAAGATTTAGATTTACATAAATGTGAAGGATCACAGGTGATTTTTTAATTATTTTATTAAATACAACAATATTAAAAGAGTTGATTTATTTAAAAAAATTGAAATTTTACTTCGTTTTTTTTTTTTTTTTTATTTATAAAGTCATAAAGTTTTAATACTGTTATCGTATAAGTATAGTAATGAAAATGCGAAAATTCGGTAGGCCCAAAAAAAAAACAAATAGCTGTTTACTTATGGTTCAATTACTGTTCTAATATTATCAGGTGGAACCTTGGTCGTGAATAATTCGGTTGTAATTTTTTTTTTGTAAAAAGGCCCGGGGAAGAGGGGCGGGGTGGAATCAATTTTATAAAAATTATCATAATTAAAATATTTGAAATTAAAATATTTCAAATTTTGAATTTATTATTAAAAACAATAAGTGCTGCAATATTTAACAGTTGTATAACAGAAAAGTATATGTTATAACTTATTTCCAAACATTAAAACATAATTTTGTTAGATCAAATTTAGGTAAAATTTCATTCCATCTCTTGTAAAATTAAGAAAGTGGTTAATTTTCAAGGACTCTTACATGTTTTTATGAGAAATTTTGATATTTTTCCATAATTGACATTGATTGAGCTAAAGTTTACAGTTCTTAAGTTAAAATTGCAAGCTGCGTTTTTGTTACTATATTGCATAAGCAATATTCCGTTCTAGTTTGTAGTTAAATAAAAATTCTGCTTTAGAATTTGAAGCTTAAAATATTTTCGTTTTTGATTTTGACGTTTTTTTTTTAATACTTACACCTTTTTATTGACATTACTACTTTTGTAAGTTTTCAAATATTTTTTTAAGTTCTCTGATTTTTAAATATATTTGAACCTGACTTAAATTGATAAAGACTGCTAAAATGAACTCAATCAGTAAATATGGAAACCCAACACATAAATAACTGTTATATGGAAACTTAACATATATATAACTGTTATACAAGTACAAGGTTTTTAAAAACTATTCCTTTCATATTTATTCTTGAACATTGTGCAATAAGATATGGTTATTTTAGAGATGAAAATTTTGTGATTTTGAGACAATATTGTCTAAGTCTATAATATTATCATTTTGAGGTAAATTAAATTTAAATATGATTTGAAAAAGTAAATGGTAATTTTTTATGGCTTCATTAATAGTTTCGATGTCAATTAAGTTGCATAAATTAAGTTTTAACAAATTAAATTGTGAATGAATATGAGTATGAATTAAAATTTAGAATTACCAAATTGAATTTAGCAGTGATTGCTTGTAATCACGAAACAGAACATCTTTTTTATTATTTTTAAGTTCCGTAAAATTTGAAATCCGTATTGATCCACTTAATTGGTATGCTAAAATTTAATTCACTATCAAGGTTAAATTCACAATTAACGTTAAAAATTAATTAAATTCTCAATACGCTAGAGAATGTTAGAGCAACTTTCTAGCGCAGCATTTGTTATAAAATTAATATTTTAAATTTCGCTAATTTAGTTAAATCGAAAATAATTTCCCGTAATTATTAGATTCAATTTATACTTTCCTTTAGTATTTAATTATTAATTAAGTAGTTACAAAAAATTCACATATTCCAAATTAAAATTTACATTTCGGAATAAAAATAAGAAGAAATAATGAAGAAATCATCGTGTAACGCTTGTATTTTTTCAAGTTAATACAAAAATGCTAAAAAATTTTTAAGTACTTATTTTTCCAACTTTGCAATTTTTTCCAATTTGATTTGTGAAAATTTACTTAAAAAAAAGATTTTTTTTTTCTTTTCTTTTCGAAGACCTTGGCAATTATTGTAGAAATTCGTAGAATTTTGCGTCAAGATTTTTATAAAAAAATTTTTTGTCGAAATTTTGTGAAAAATATTCTATTTATATAGAGGAAAATATACAATCTATATATATATACTCGTATATGTATGTACGTAGATGAACTCAAAAATGTTGTATATGTTCCTATCACACATTGTATTGATCAAGAGAATTTTAGGATAAAATTGCATAAAAAAATATTGTAAGGCGAATACCGGAATGCACTATAAAAAAAATATGTATGTGAATAAAAGTAAATTGCAGATATTGCACCATTTATGTAGCTTTAAATTGTCTTTTTAGTCATTTTAATTACTTGTTGACTGATAACGAATAGACTGGCCCTCGAACATTATAGTTAAATAATGTGTTAATGCAACTGAGGTAGAAAATTGTAATTATTGTTGTTATAAAAAAAATATTAAATAATTTTAAAATTTCGATAAAAAATTCCAAGAAATCGCAATAATAAGAAACTTTTAAAACTAAATAAGTAGCTATTTTATTTACTTGAAGACAATTTAATCGATTTATATTAAAGACGATTTTATTTTAAAATTGTTTTAGAAAATATTTTATAACTAAAATAATTTCGTTTTTACAGCACAATTGTAGCACAACAATACCGCAAGTAACTCTCCAAAATGCTGGTATTACAGAAAATCAATTATCAGAACAGGACATTTATAATTGGGACCAATACTACACAACGGGTTATCCTGATGTAAGTCAAATTAAATCCATAATTAACACTTGTACCATACAAATGAACAAATTTTTCAATTAAGTATTGAACTGAATTTCAAGAATCCAATTAATTTTTCATTTTTATTTCAATTACAGAAAGGATCAAACCGTTTACTCAAACCCACATCTAATGGTCGGCCAGAATATGCTGAATATTTACCGAAATCTCCTTTAGAAGGACCTCCAACATCAGTTTTAAATGGTCATAGTAATAAGGTTCTACCCGGATCATTAGCATCGAAATTGATGCGAAAACCTAGTATAGAACGTGAATTACCTGGCCTACAATTTCATAGAGGTAGTCCTGCTTTAGATTCGGGTGCTGGAAGCTCAAGATCAGATAGTCCTCATTCACATTCACAACAATTGCCTAGTAGTCGAACCAGTGTTGGGCAATATAGTCCTTCCCCATGTCCTTCAAATTATAGTGATGTTCCTCCACTGCCACCTCCTCGTAATTCATCGACACCACCAACACCACCGCCAGCCCCAGCAAATTTACAAATACTGAAGCGTCGTTCTCCAGCAGCTACAGCCAGACCAATAGCATTGCCAGCAGCTGCATCTACTCGTGGAACATCTCCTGTTAGTGGTACAGTTGTATCCGCTTCAGTTTTACAACAATCCCAAACAAATCATCGTCAAATACCAGCTCCTGTGATTCCGCAAAATGGTCCCAAAGCTCAACAACAACTATCACAACAAATGCAAGCTTTAAGTTTATATCAGAGTGGTGGGAATTCTGGTGAACCACCACCGCCATATCCAATAAATAATTCTGGAGGACCGCCGCCACCCCCTAGTTATACAGCTACTATTCAAAATCGTCAAAGTCCAACACAGTCACAATCGGATTATAGGAAATCTCCAAGCAGTGGTAAGTTAAAATATAATTTATAGTTAATTCATTTCTATTTGTTCAATATAATTATGGGAGTTGTTTTATTTAAATTCAATTAAATATTAATTATTTTAGGCATTTATTCAGCTACGTCCGCAGGATCACCTAGTCCAATCACAGTTACAAATAGTGCAATTATTCCCAGTTCTTCTCAAGCTGCTGCACAGGCTGCAGCAGCCGCGGCCGCAGCTATGGTTCGGCCGCAACCTTGGGGTGCTTATCAAACAAGGACTCAACCTCCAATTATTATGCAATCCGTTAAATCGACACAAGTGCAGAAGCCTGTTCTTCAAACGGCTATAGCGCCACCACCCCCAGCATCTCCATCTATATGTGCGTCCCCAGTTCATGTTGCAAATGCTCCTCCCTCATATGCAACATCAATACAACAAAAAACACAGCAGCAACAACAAACCCAAGCATCACCTTTAATCGCAGGAACAGCTACAACAGGACCACCACCACCAGTAAAAGCCAAACATATCACACCACCTACAACACCACCAGTATTACCGTCTCTTAATGGCATGAATAATGGCAACAATGGTAATGGTAATACTGTACCAACTTCCGAACCGCCTTCTTATGCAATAACAATACAAGCTATGAAGGCTGCTCAACATCAACAGCAACATCAGCAACAAAATAAGCAAATAGAAAAACCATCATCAACAACAAGTCGTCAATTACCTCCACCTCCACCCTATCAGTTAACACCCAATAGCAATAATAGCCTTAGTCCTAATAGCAATCTAAATATAAATAATAATTTAGAAGCAAAAAATCTCACGAATCAACAACAGTCTGTAAATAGTAATTTAAATGAAACTAATTCTAATATAATAAATAATAATAATTTGACGACAACACCACCCATACCACCTGCCAAAGTCAGTTCGTCAACTAGTTCTTTAGCAAGTTCGGAAAAATCAAAATCTTCAACTGCAAACAGTAAATCTGAAAATATACGGAAAATTAAACATCAGTCACCAATACCAGAACGTAGGAAAGTTTCAAAGGAAAAAGAAGAAGAAAGAAAAGAATTTCGCATTAAGCATTATTCACCGCAAGCTTTTAAATTTTTTATGGAACAACATATTGAAAACGTTATGAAATCTTATAAACAGCGCAGTTTTAGAGCCAACCAATTAGAAAAGGAAATGGCAAAAATCAATCTTTCGGCACAAGCTCAGGTTCAAATGCGTTTGATGTTAAATCAAAAGGAGTCAAATTATATTCGTTTAAAAAGAGCTAAAATGGATAAATCTATGTTTGTACAAATTAAACATATTGGAGTAGGAGCTTTTGGAGAAGTTAGTTTAGTAAGAAAATTGGATGCTACAAATCATTTATATGCAATGAAAACTTTGAGAAAAGCTGATGTTCTTAAAAGAAATCAAGTTGCTCATGTAAAAGCTGAAAGGGATATTCTTGCTGAAGCTGATAACGAATGGGTTGTTAAACTTTATTACAGTTTTCAAGACAAAGATAATTTATACTTTGTAATGGATTATATACCGGGTAAATTTGATATTTTCCTTAACTTTTTAATATATAAATATTTTTTAATATATAATTATCATTTTAATTATCTTGTGATTTTGTTTTTTCGTGCACAGGTGGTGATTTAATGTCTTTGCTAATCAAAAAGGGTATTTTCGAGGAGCCTCTCGCTCGTTTTTATATAGCTGAATTAACTTGTGCTGTGGAAAGTGTACATAAAATGGGTTTTATTCATAGGTGACATTAAAATTTAATTTAAATAACAAAAACACAAAAATTAATATAATATGAATTTTTAGAGATATTAAACCAGATAATATATTGATTGACCGGGATGGTCACATCAAACTAACAGATTTTGGTTTATGTACTGGATTTAGATGGACTCACAATTCAAAATATTATCAAGAGAACGGTATGATATTGATTCTATTTTTTTTTTTTTAATTTAATAAGTTATTCATATTTTTTGTCTTAAATTAAATTTGAAAATAAGCTTATTTGTGTATATTACTTTTCGAAATTTTAGAAATTATGTCTTACCTTTAAAATATATACTTTAATATTATTTTTCTCAGGTGATCATTGTCGTCAAGATTCAATGGAACCATGGGAAGATTACTCGGAAAATGGTACCAAACCAACAGTTTTAGAAAGGTTAATATAATTTAATAATTTTGTATATTTGATATTTTTAAAATGCTTAAATTGTAAATACTTTTTTTTTATTTTAAGGAGAAGAATTCGAGAACATCAAAGAACGTTAGCGCATTCTTTAGTCGGAACACCTAATTATATTGCACCCGAAGTCTTAGAACGTAGTGGCTATACACAACTATGTGATTGGTGGAGTGTTGGCGTTATATTATATGAAATGCTTGTAGGACAGCCTCCATTTTTAGCAAATACTCCTGTTGAAACACAGCAAAAAGTAAAAAAATATTATTACAACTAATTATTTTTTAAATAACAATAATATTTTTTTTTTATTATTTTAGGTTATAAATTGGGAGAAAACATTAGTTATACCACCACAAGCACAATTATCTAGAGAAGCTACAGATTTAATAAGAAGACTTTGTTCTGCAGCTGATAAACGTTTAGGTAAAAAAGCTGATGAAGTTAAACAACATGATTTTTTTAAAGGTGTCGATTGGTCTGATATGAGAAAACAAAAAGCACCTTATATACCTAAAATTGAACATCCAACTGATACTTCAAATTTTGATCCTATTGATCCTGATAAATTACGTGCATCAAATGATTCAAATGGTGGTGAATTTAATGATGATACTGGAAAACCGTTTCATGGTTTCTTTGAATTTACATTTAGAAGATTTTTTGATAGTGATTTAAATAAATTTCATAAAACTAACACGGATATAAATGATGATCAAGGACCTGTATATGTTTAGCAAAATTATGAAATTAAAAAAAAAAATGTTATAGTAATTTAATTTAAAAGAAAGAAATTGATTAAAACATTTCTAGAGTATTAGAAAGTGTGTATTAAAATAAAATATAAGTTTTGTTTTCATACACACAAAAACTAAAAAAAAAAAAAAAGGAATTTTTTTTAAATAAATATATTTTTGTTTTCTAATTGAACTATTTTTGATTAAAAATTTGTTTACTTACAGTAATTAAAGAAAATCTTTCCTTAAATTAATTATTTATAAAACAGAAAATGTTCATAATTATGCATAAATATGCTTTCTTAATTAACTATATTGTTCTTATGCTTAAATAATACTATCAAGTTTTAGAATTCGATTTAGACAACTGTTTGGAACTATCAACAAATTTTTTGCAGGCTTAAAAATATTTAATTTGTTGTATAAAGATTTCAAACCATTTGTGTTATTTTTTACAATATTAAGACTAAAACCTGGATTTTTATGTATACATTTTAAAAATAATTTAAAAGTATAAAAATACAATGAACATAATAATGTTTTTTTAAATAACTAAAAAAATAATGTATTTCAAATTTTCATATCAAGATTTTCTTTAAAAACTTTTACTTGGATATTACTCTTATCTTTTCTTTTATTTTTTTTTTTTAAATTGTGTTATGAAAATTAAATTGAGTATTTAAAACTGATTTTGTAAATAGAATTTAGAAAAAAAAAAAAATAATTCATTATTTTACTTTAATGTCTAATTTTTATAAATAGAAAAATATCAATTATTTATACATAAACAAATTTTGTATACTTGTTTTTTATTCGAAATCAATCAAAAAATTATTTATTAAAAACTTGTCGACTTACGAAAAATAAATTCATTATCTTAAAATTTAATTCGAATTTCATAAAAAACAACGATTCAAAACGATTTATCGAAATGAATTATTTATTTATTTATTTTCTTTTTTTTAAATACCACATTAATAATTTAAATAAATTATTTTATTCAATTAAATTTGTTTATTCAATTAAAATTGGTTTTGTGAAATTTAATTATGTTCTTATTAATTGTCTATAATTCACTAATTTTAATTACATTTAATTTTTATTAAATACAAAATTTTAATTAGTTATTAGAATAATTGCGAAATTATATTAAAATATTTTTATTTTTTTTTATCATTTTTTTTGAATTGCAATTCTAGAGGTTATGTTTAGAACTAACTAACCATAATTTGTTAGTCGCATCACTTGAAGTGTTAGGATTGTTTTTTAAATTAATTGTAAAATTATTGTAAAATTGTAAAATTTTTTGAATAACAACCCATCATGTCAAGTAAGTCACGAAGCAATTAACAGAATGTGGGTGAATATTTTGAATTCCGTTTAAAATATAAAAAAAACTTTTGTTTATAAAATTTTGACTTAACATTCATTATAAATATTAAAAAATTTTTTCCGCTAATTCAAACAAAATTCAAATTTTAAATAAAATAAATTGTTTAATTGAAATAAAATCAAAAATTAAATTGATAAATTTAAAGAATTGATGAAATATTTAAGGAAGAAGAAAATGGAATTAAAAAAATTAATAGAAATCATGAAAAAAAAAATTTTAAAATAAAATAAAACATTGTTATTTTTTAATTTTTTTTTTTTTGCTAATGAATATTAAAAACAACTCTAAAGCTTGAATTCGAAATTTTGTAAGTCAACAAAGTTTCTAATAGAAAATTAATAATTTCTTTTTTAAATAGGAAACAAAATATTGATATTGTTTTTTTTTTTTTTTTTAGTAAATTATAATTGACTTTCTAAATTTTAGTAAAGTTTTTTTTTTTTTTAGAATTTGATATAAAAAATAAAACGTTGGTTTTCTATATTATATTATAAATGTAAATATGTAATTTGTTTATTTCATAGTTTAGTCTATTAATATTTTTACATTTATTATAATTATTTAGCAGTGTGTGAGTAAATCTCCGAATTTAATTAGGTTTAATAAAATAATAGAAAATTTGAAATTTCTATATATATATATATATATATATACAATATATATATATATATATATATATTTTTAAATTAAAATGAAAAAATTTGTTTCTTGTATATTTTTTATTAATTTAAATTTTAAATTAAAAAATAATAAATAAAAAAAAATTAAATGTTAAAATTTAAAAAAACAAAAATGTATGAACAAAAAAAAAAAAAAATAGAATAATAAATTTTTAATATCGAATGTAACATTTTTCATTAGACATTAGGAAAATTTAAATGTGTTTTTTAAATTATTTAAAACAAAAAAAAAAAAAAGAAAAATAAATTTTTTTGATTTTTATATTAACGTTTAAATCATTCTAATTAATATTTTTACAAAAAAAAAAAAAAAACAAAAAAGAGAAAAACAAAAAAAAATCTGTAGTACGATGTCTAAACTATAGTGCCTATATAGAAACAGAAGATAAACATATTAATATACATACATTAAATTATACAAAAATATTAAAATGTGAATATAAACTATAAAAAAATAAAATAAAAAAAAATTTCTATATATAAATGTATAAATAAAATTTATAATATAAAATATTTTAAATATATTTACTTGTATTATTTTCATTTCAAAAATTAAATATATATGTATGTATATATAAATGTACATATATATTTATATATTAAAAATTTATAATATTAATTAAAAAAAAAGAAAATAAGAAAAAAAAAATATGTACATAAAAACTATTTTAACATTTAAAAATCGATAAAATAAATGAATTTTTTGAAACACTGAATAAAAAAGGATTTATTCAATTCAATTTAAAAAGTCAAATTTAGTAGATTATCGATATTTTAGACATTTTTTGTTTTATCCTAATTCGCTTCTTTAAGAAGCATTGAGCATTCAATGACGTAAGAAACTGGTGCATGATATTGTAGATCAACATGAACCAGTTTCTTATGTTATTGAATTTACCAGGTAAGTGACGAGCCTACCTAGTAAAGCCTAATTTTTTAGAAAAAATTAGATATTATTAAAATATGTTATTATTTTTTTATTTTTATATATAATGTGTATAAAGTTATACAATATTGAATATAATTTTTATAGTGATCTGATTGGTATAATTTAGGTATGAAAGTTCTAAATTAAAATGTTACAAACTTTTTTACAAATACTTAGAAATTTACAGAAAGTGAAAAAAATATTTTATTATTTCCGATACATATGTAATATACTCGAGTATATTTTTAATATCTCCAGCAATTTTATATTATGCTCTTCTTTTAATTTATAATACTTTTGCGGTAGTTATAAAAATACTTAAAAATTTTTTTAAAATTTTTAAACAAGTACTGTCATTTTTGAATGTGCTATTTTTCGCAGATTTTGCAATTTAGATTTATCAAATGTATTTTATATATTAAGACCTAAACTAGAACTGAGTTTTCGAAAATCGGAGTACCCTTTCACTGCTAAAAACAAGAAAAAGAATGGAAGATTTAAGTCAAAAGTAAACATAAAATAATAAGGATTTTCGATAATTCAGATATTCATTTTAAAGTTCTAACTTATTCTCTACACGAACTACATAGGCATCTCCTACAGGAAATACCTATGTAACTATATATGTATGTAAGTAGTTTATTACAGGTTTTTAATATCTCATATTTTTTTAATATATTATGTGCTTTTATGTAACATGGTTTATAATAAGATCTAAGTTAGAAGGTAATTTTTTAAAAATCTACAAAATTTGTTCGTTGCATCACAAAGCCAAAATCGTTTTGGTTCTTGTACAAAATCTACATAATATGTTTACGATCAGCTTTTCACAATACTTTAGCTTATACTTTCAAATGTTTATACATATGATGTTTTATTTACAAATTACTGTTTTTGTATCTAATTGACCCCATCAAGTTACATACGAGTATTATAAATTTTAAGAAAATCTTATCCAAATATAAAAGAAATGCAGCTACTTAGCTCATATCTTGGTAAAGCGAAATACCTATTAAAATCAACTATTATAATATAGGAGTGATTTAATTTTAAGATATTTTACTAGGTCATTAACCTACAAAATATACTGAAAATAAATTTTTGGATACAAAATAAATTAGGTAAAGGTTCGAAAGTATGAGGAATATATAATTTAATTGCTAAATCTTTTGATAAATTCATAAATTTTATAAAAAAAAAAATAATTTTAAAATGTTAGAACTTAATTTACTTATTAAATCCCGGTTGAGGAGAAAGTAAGTGAACGTCTTGTATTCTTAGTGACTTTCAAGTGAGAAATATCTAGATACATGTTTTTTCTGTAGGTATGCAAAATTCAGTCACTTGTCCTTAAAAGAGCGTCTTATTGACCTTTTAAATTGAGACTCGAGATTTTAAGAAAAAATAATAAAATTTAATTAGAAGAAAAAATGATATTCGATTAAAAAAATGGTTTGATTATAATTATGGTTTAAGAGAAACTGAAAATGTGAGATACGACATAAGATCATTAAAGTAAATTGTTTTCGTAATTGAAATGCCATCTTATCATTAATTATTACATGATTAACTTAAATGAACCTATACGTTAATTGAAAATCATAAGCCAATCTGTTACTCATCACCATACCTATATATATACATAAGTAGATACATAGAAATGTGCAAAATATTATAGATTTGCAATATAATTGTAACTTATGTAAAAGTAAAACATCTTCAACCAAACTAAAAACAATTAATTTCAGATATATTATTTTATTTAAATTTATACGTCCTTAAAACATTTTGTCGTTCTTTATATAAAAATACAATAAAATACATTAATTGAAATTCATCTTCTTCTTTTCTCTATCCTTTTGGCTCTTTTAGGACCCTTTACAAAACACCACTCCACTTGTATCGTTTGTCCTAATATTTCCGAACCATTCAAAGCCTCTTTGGCAGCCAATGCTTGTCTGTGTGTTTCATATTCAACTAAAGCATATCCTTTTGAGAATCCTGTTCTTCTGTCTAAATTTAAATGAATATTTTTTATATCACCATATTCACAAAATTTTTCTTGAATATCATCTTCTTGCGCTTCTTCATGAATCTGAGTAACAAACAATATCCAACCTTCAACGGAACGTTGTGGGCCTGGCTCTAATTCGTCTTCGTCATCTCTTACTCTATCATAATCGTGAATGGGTTCCCTTGCAATACTTTCACTTCCGAAACCTCTTCCTTTACGTTTTTTTGCTTTTTCTTTTAGGCGGACTATACCTTGATCTCCATCATCATCTACTTCAAAATCTTCTGCATTATCTATATCAAGAACATCTGCCATATTTTTTAAAATTATTTTATCTTCAGACTTTCTAAAGTGGGTTATGTTTCATCAATCTTAATATAAATTAATTTTTATATTCTTCTAATTACAAACCATTTACAAAAGTAAACTAAGTACAGTTTGAAAGTAGCTTTGTAGTTTTGATGTTTCCTATATAATCAATATATTTGACATTTAATTTTTGACATCCAATTTTACCGTTTCGTTCAATACAGAGTCAAAAAAGTGTGATTTTGCGGTTATTTCTTTCAAAAATTTTCATTTTATTTTATTTACCTTTCATTTTTCAATCAAATTTGTTATCAAATATGTAACTTGCCTTTTTATGCGAAAACTTTCGATTATACGATTAAAGTTTACTTTCAAACTTTTAGACGATTTAAAAGATTGAGGGTCACTTGCCACAAAAATACAATTCGGCCGTTTAATTTTAAGGAGTTGAATTGTATTTTTGCAGGAAGTGACCGTCAATCATATTTGTCATTTGTAAAAGTACAGAATTGAAAAGAATCCGTGCAAAGATGTAGTTGAAAATAAGCATATTATTTGAAATTTATCTGATAATTAAATTGAAAAGTGAATTTTTTGAAATAAATTATTTAATAAAAAAACTTTGGAAAAATGGCAGCACTGTATATCCCAATAGATAAATTTATATACATAGTAGTAAATAGTAAATCAAAATTTAAAGTTGGCAGCTCCGAATTTAAACCGGTCAAATTTTGACAGTGATTTGACATTTGCCAAAAGAATTGATTTTTATCGGATGTAAAATTACACGCTACTCTTTACCTTAAAATTTATGTTTAATTAAAACATTTTTTAAATTCATATCAAATATTTTAAAATAAACGAAAAATGAGTGAAACACCGAAAGAGGACGATAAATTTTCAGATTTTACCAGATCAAGAACAAAGTCAAGATCTAAAAGTAGAGACACTAATGATACAGATAGAATTGACAGAGAGCGTGAAAAAAGAAGTCGAAGGTAAGTAGCTTCTGAATATGTATCCATAATTAAACTTTTTGAGCTTTTTGAAAATGATTAAATTAAATCCAACATATTTTAGGGAAAGAAGCAGAGAAAAAGAAAAAAAACGTAGTAGGGAAAGAGATAGTCACAGACGTAGTCGAGATCGTGAAAGTCATAATAGACGAAGCCGTGACAGAGATGGTCACACCCGAAGAAGTAGAGAAAGGGAGAGTAAAAAGCGTAGCCGGGATCGTGAGCGTGAAAGAAAACGAAGCAGGGATCGCAGCCGGGAAAGAGAGAGAGACAGAAGAAGTCGTGATAGGGACAGAGATCGAGACCGAGATCGCGAACGTGATAGAGATAAAAGAAGTAGGGATCGTGAACGTCGCAGAAGTCGGGAAAGAAGAAGTAGGGATCGTGAAAGACGAAGCCGCGATCGAGATCGTGACAGGAAAAGTCGTGATAGAGACCGAGATCGCCGACGCAGTCGTGACAGAGACCGCAGAAGTAGAGATCGGATTAGTAGATCTCGATCTCCAAAGAAAGAACCTTCAATGGTACGTGAGAATAAACTTGATCTGACGCAGGCTATAACAGAAATGATATACTGTACTTCAGCTACGTCCAAAAATTTTGCTGCTTTACTTTGCCAAAATAGCAACGATTCTACAAGTAATGGGCCGTCGGAAACATCATCACGTAAGTCAAGTTATTAAACATTGGATCTGGATAAATAATATATTTTTACAAAAGATACAAGTTATTTAACATATAGCATTGTGCATTAGCAAACGTTGTATTGTAAATTAACAAATCAATGAATCTCTGTAAAAAAAAATAGTTATCTTTAAGACGCGTATTAAAAATTTTAAATGTACATAAGTAATATAGCACTAATAACATTTTTCAATTTTTTAGTTGATGGCAAAGGGAAAAAGAAAAGATCTAGATGGGGTGGAACTGAAAATGATAAAACCTTCATACCAGGAATGCCAACTATTTTACCTTCGACTTTGGATCCAAATCAGCAACAAGCATATTTAGGTAGAGTATTTTCAAAAATAAAATTAAAATACGTAGGTTTAAGTTTTGAATTTACAGTTCAATCGTAAAGAGGGTTTTTCAGAATCTTTTCAATAAAATAAATAAATATTTTAATAATACTTTCCTTATTATAGGAGTAAAATGCAATTCGACAATAGCGGAAATTAATTAAAATAAAATATTAATAATTAATATCAAATTTTACAGCTCAAATAATATTTTACAGCTCCATTTTAAAATTATTATATGTACATATTAAATTTGACAAAATAATATTAAGCAGATCACAAACTAATTTCGTGTCTATTGAAAGTAATAGACCAAAAAAAAAATTAAGTTATGATGATTTAATTATAATTTGTGCAAGGAATATTTTAAAATTTGTAACAATGATCATATTGAAGACAGAAAAATGTATCATGAAGCTTTAAACACTCCTTAAAAAATGAAAAAAAAAAAATTCTGATATTGAATAAGCTTAATAATACATATATATTTTTATTTACTCAGCGACATTAAAATTACGAGGAATATTAATGAAATTTACCCACAGGACATAAGAGCTAATGAGCCTTATTACAAAAAATATATTTATTTATAATTAATTTTTATTGATTTTTTTAACTTAGCCAAAGTAAGTAAACAGGACATTATGAAGCTCTAATGATATTTTTTATTTAAAATTTTTCATACTCTATTTAAATTTTTAGTCATGATTTAATCTAATATCGAGGCTTGCCTCGATCTAATCCATTATTTCTTACAGTTCAATTACAAATTGAGGAGATAAGTAGAAAATTAAGGACTGGTGATCTGGGAATTCCGCAAAATCCTGAAGAAAGGTTTGAAAATTTTGTCATCTTTGTTTTTTTTAAATGAAAATCTACCAAATTGAAACAATAATATGAAGGATTGTGTATCATCCAGTGTGATCCAAATAAATTGTTTACACTTTTGTAAATTCGTGACAAGGTTATGCTTAAAGAGTTTTTGGGGAACTCAACAGTGTGGAAGGAAAAATTATTCAAAAAGAAAAACAGGTTTATTTATTTCATAACGGTATACCAGTATGGTTTTAAAATATAATTTGTTTATTATTAAAATGAAAAGAAAATATTAAGCTCTATAAGCTTATACACTCGTAATTATTTTATTATTTTAGTTTAAAAGTGATAAAGAAATTTTACAAACCATTATTTTATTACGAGAATAAATTCAAAAAGCCGGAATACAACTATAAATTCGAGTCTCTAAAATTTCGGGAATCTGTTTTTTAATTCTAGGTATTTGTACATTTATGAAAAACATTTAGCTACATTATGAAATATAAATTAAACCTACAGAATAATAACTTAACAATCAATTTCATATAAAATTCAATTTTTGGCTTTAGTTGTTATTTTTGTTTTATTATTTATTGAAAATGACTACAAAATCTACTCTACCAAGAGTGAAGAAATATACGCTTATGACATAATGAAAAATTATTATAATTTCCAATTAAATTACAAATTTTTTATATATTTGTATAAAATTTTGGAAAAGTTATCAGATCTTCAAAAATTTAATGATTTAGAATTTTTTTTTAATTTAAGTTGGCGAAACGATCAGGCTATAGTGATTATGATGTACATGATCAATTCAAACAACTTAATTTTTAGAAATATATACATATAATATGATTAAGAATTATCCATAATTTCAAAACAAAATATTTATAATTATGATATAAGGTGAGAATATCAAACTTATAGAATTTTTTGAAAATAACTTGTTCAAAGTATATAAAGCTTGCAGAAAAAATTATTAAAGATTTATGTATATTCTAAAGAAGGACATTAAAATCCCTAAATTTTAATCTTGAGGGAGTTTGTTGTAGAAAATGTTTGTACCAAATATAAAAGTGAAATCATTCGTTGAATATACATTTGCTTTGATTTTTCAATTCTTACTCAATAATTTCGGAATTTTAACTTAAAATAATAAACGCAAATATATAATTTTTATATACATTTATATAACAGAGTTTTCATATATTTTAATAAAATCGAATGTCAATAATAATAATCGTGTTCTATTAGAATAAACGTTGTATTTATTGGTGAATAGAGTGAATATTTAAATAATGTTAATGGTAATTATAAAGAGTTTTCATTATTAAAATTTGGTATTATCTGGATAGAACGTTATAATACTAATCAACATTAGAAAATTATTTTTTCTTTTTCCATGTTATACAAAATGCAGACTTCCAAAATGTTATAATTGGCCCTTATAGGATGGCGAAGCATTTGAATATTTATGCTGATGCACCAGCTATTAATACAAAAAAATATAATAATTATTTTTGTTTTTAATCAATTAATTAATTTCAAAAATTTTTCAGCATTAATTTTATTATTAACAGAAACATATTTTTACCGGATTTAGATAAAAAAAATGAGAAAAATGTAAAAATTAATTTAAAACCAATCAAGAACATATCAAAAAGACTGTTTTTGATATTATTACTTCTATTGTTTTTGAAATTTTGAATATTATTGAAATAAAATAAAAATATTAGTAAATAATATGCAATCGAAAATTTTTGCATTTATTTTACTAATATTGTCAGCAAATGGGTAATTGCAGTCAAATTTTTTTTTTCTTCTCGCCGTAGGTCACCTTCACCTGAACCAATATACAGTTCTGATGGTAAACGTCTAAATACACGTGAGTTCCGTACAAGAAAGCGTCTTGAAGAACAACGACATCAGTTAATTTTACGTATGCAATGTATGAATCCCGATTTCAAACCGCCCGCAGATTATAAGTATAAAATGTGTAAAATTATAAGAAGTAAATTTTAAAATATTAAATTTGTTTTGTAGACCGCCAGTAATACGTGTGAGTGATAAAGTTTTAATTCCACAAGAACAGCATCCCGATATTAATTTTGTTGGTCTTTTAATTGGACCAAGAGGCAACACATTAAAAGCAATGGAAAAAGAAACTGGAGCCAAAATCATTATACGTGGCAAAGGTTCAGTTAAAGAAGGAAAAGTAGGACGAAAAGATGGACAACCGTTACCCGGTGAAGATGAACCTTTACATGCTTTTATAACCGCTAACAATCCAGAAGCTGTTAAAAAAGCTGTAGATAAAATAAAAGATGTGATTCGGCAAGGTATTGAAGTTCCTCAGGGTCATAATGATTTAAGGAGAATGCAGTTAAGAGAATTGGCTCAGTTAAATGGCACTTTACGTGAAACAGATATTATACGATGCGCAAATTGTGGTTCAACCGAACATAAAACTTGGTTATGTCCGGATAAACCTAATATAACGAATGTAATTTTGATTTTGATATTTAGTTTTTGCAATATACATTATTTATAATATTTTTTAGAATATTGTTTGTACTTCATGTGGTGGTGCTGGTCACATTTCTAAAGATTGTCGTAGTAAGCGACCTGGTGCTACCGGATCTACTCCAGATTCCCAAGCTAAAATTGATGAGGAATACCTAAGCTTAATGGCAGAACTGGGTGAAGGTCCTCCTCCATCTGCTGCGAAACAAATAGACCCCTTAGTTCAAGCCCATTTAAATCGTGGATATACATTGTTTGATCAGAAACCCAGTCAACCAAAAGCAATAGCTGCACCGCCAGTTTCTGCAGCTCCTCCTCCAGCTCCAGCCCCAATAATGAATGTTGTTCCCCCGCCACCACTTCCACCACAACCAGGTCTACCACCATTGACAACAGTTCCTCCTCCTCCAATGCCTATACCACCATGGAATTCTTCAAATAATAATTCAACTTTACCAGCAATGCCGCCAGCATTACCACCTCCTCCCCCAAGTGTACCACCGCCGATGCCTTGGATGCCATCGGCTCAACCTCCTCCTCCAGGTGGCGATACTTTGGGTAATAAATTTTGAAATATTTAAAAAAATTTTATGTATAACAAATATTTTATTAGCTCCACCTGGTACAACAGCTGCGCCACCTCTGCCGCCATGGAGTGGTGGTCCTCCCATACCACCACCAAATTTTTGGAGTCCAAGCGGTCCACCATCATTTGTTCCTCCCCCGCCAGGTGAATGTGAACTCACAATTACAATAATATAATATTTGATTTATAATTAATGCTTTTGTTTTTCTTTATTTATTAAAAGATTTTATTTCAGGTACCGCACCTGCGCCTCCCGCGCCACCAGGCACACCATCTCCAGCTGGGATTTTACCAAGTTTGAGCCAGCCTCCCCCTCCTCCTCCAGGAAATTAGACGATACATAATCAAAATTCATACTTAAAAATATGCAATTTTATTTCAATAAAAAATTAGCAAAAAAAAAAGAAGAACCCAAAAAAAAAATTGTGAGAAATTTATAAATATGATTGACTTTATATTAAGAAATATAATTGAGAAATAATAAATAATGTACATTAATTGTTTTATTATATATTTTTTTGAAAATAATTTCATTAAAATTTTATCATATAGTAATTCAGAAGAACCAAACTTTCTGCATTCCGAGTGCTGGCTAGTGATATGGATCGTGTGGATAATAATAGGATAGTTCATACTAACACTGGTTGTTAAAAACAATAATGATATTATCATCAGTATCACAGATTTTATGTACAGCTTAACTACAGAAATGCACAGCTAAGAAAAATAAAAGAGTTTTTTGATGACTTTAACTGAAAATTTTGAAAAATTCAAAAGCGGCCTCAGAAACTACAATTTGACTGTTGCAGAATAAAACATTTTGCGCAGTACATCGTAAAATTACATCTGAAAAATTTTTTATTGAATAATCTCATCTTTCAGCCGAAAAAATATTTCGGTTCACAAGAGAAGTTTCTATAAATTCACTTTTTTTTTTTATTAAGAAAATTTAAGATTTTTTTTAATTAATTTTTTATTTTAGAATTAAAAGATTGTAAAATATAAATTTTAATATGAAAAGATCGTTATCATTGTGACAACTAGTCAATTAATTTTTACTTTGGCTAGGCTATATCAATTTTAAATAAAAATTACCATGTATATTAAATTTTAAGATTCAAAAATAAAGATTTAGTAAAATAATTCTAATTTTAATTTTCTTTTTTATTTTAATTTTTTTGCATACTAATATTAGAATTTTAATAAAAAACTAAAATCGAAAAATTAACAAAAATATTATAAGATAGAACAAAAACTTTATGATATTCAAGAGATTTATGCAATTGTAAAATTGTGCATAATTTTCATAAATAGGCTACTAACTACAAATATGCTTTCAAACCTACTTACATTAATTCAATTTATTTTTCAATTTATTTGAAATAAAAATTATGGATTATGTTATACGAGTATGCTTTATTTCATGATGATGACATAATCCTAATGTATGTTTTCTGTTTTTAACTTATGGAAATTTTGCAATTCTTATAACATTATTCTGCAATTTGATTAACAAAATCTTACTTACATGGTACCATGTACAAGTTTATATTATCATTTTATTACCATTTTATAAAATAAGTATAGTTACCATTTTTAATAGTTTGACCATCAACGAGATTTTTTTTTTTTTTTTGATTATGTAGAAAACGATTCATAAACGGAAAAGACAAATAAAAAAAAAAATAAATAAAATTAAAATATCTTAAGATATTTTAATAATTATATGGAACTGTTATAGAGTTATTTCGTGTGTACGAAATTGGAAAATATATTATTGGAAACCATTTGGTATTGGGTGACAATAAACGCTAATGTTTTATATAATATGTAGGTATATGCATAAATGTATTGTTCATATACCCACCATTTACCATTAGGGATTTTTTAAAAAAAAAAGAAGACTAAAATATTAAAGTTTTTTTTTTCTGCTTCATTCTTTTTTTTTATTGATTGCTGCTGTTATTTTGTGGTGCGTTCTTCTTTTTAATGTTTTTTTTTTTTGTTTTGTTTTCTGCTTAAACCCGTAAAAAGAAAATATATTATAACATTTTGAAAGACCAATTGACACCCACGATTTTAGTAGCCAAATATGTACACACGGTCCATTAAAATTGAACATACAAAGACTAACAAAAAGAAAAAAATTGTATAAAAAAGAAGAAATATAAGAATAAGTTTTTGTTAAAAAATAAACAAATATAAACTTTTTTGTTTTGTAGCATTCGGGGACGATTGCGGTATATTAAAAAAATTTAATAAATAACTAAAATTTTATACTTTACAAAATTAAATCATAGTCCAAAGATGCTTCAATTTGCTTTTAAGAGCTTCATACAACTATTTCATCAAACACACTGAATTCAATAAATGAAAATTATGAATTTAATAATCATCCCGAATGATCCCAGATTATCCAAAGCGAAATAGCTTAATAGGATGAAAAAAAAAAAATTTCGAAATTAGATATGGAAAAGTGTTAGATATAATACGCAAAAAACCTTTACGTCTGTGTTGATCTCGTTAAAAATCGTAAAACCGAACAAGTAAATTTATTTTAATTTGTTATTCTATTGTAATATTCTAATGCTGTTTTCTGTTGTATAGATTTTATGTAATTTTACCAATTTTACTACTTACTTGAAATGAACTTGCGCTTGTGAGTTCGTTGAACCAGTTGTTGACAAAATTTATCAATGATTATTGTTCGAGAATTAATCTTCTTCTCTTCTTCTAGAGCTTAAAACACTACTGGATGTTAGCGGTCATATGCCTGTTTTCATAATACGTTGATTTTCATTGCATCAAGTCACCAATTTTTGATATACCCGTCCAAGTCCTGATGTTGCATAACCATGATATCTGTTTTGTACCAATTCCTCTTTTTGCCTTCGATTTTTCCTTGAACTATGAGTTGTAGAAGTTTATATTTCTCATTGTCAGTAGCTGCCGGTTTAATGCAACTCTACGCAAAACCTCATTATTTGATACATGTTCAACCCAAGATATTTTGAGCATTTGAATGCTCCTTTTCTGTTAACATTATTAAATTTTAAGGCCCAGTATTTAATAGAAGAACAGACCATACATAACACTTCATAAATTGTAAATATAGGTTTAAATTCAAATCTCTGCAGCACAGACCTTTTGCATATTTTCTATTGCAACTTCATTTTTCATTCAACCAGAAACCCAGATATTTGAAATTAGATTCCATTGCTTGCAAATTAATCCTTCCATTGCTTGCAAATTAATAACAACCAAATAAATGTAGAAACTGAAAAAAAAAATTTCACAGGCAATAATGCAAAAAAAAACCCAAACTATTGTTGTTCAATCAGCACTTTTAAAAATTAAAATGGAACGTCCATGTGTACTGACACTCTTTATGTAATTCTATTTACTTACAATCACACTGATCGCGTGTAAAATTAATTTTTTTTTTTAATTTTTTAGTTACATTTTTAAAATTATCAATTCAATGTACACATGTACATTTGTATGTATAATGTGGTTGAATGCTATTCTCTAAGATTATCTGTTTTCCTTTTTTAGGAAAATCTTGCATGCAGTAAAGTCTAAAGCTTCCAAAAAGGAGTATTTGATTATGAAAAATTTTTAAAATAATTTTTTGAATAACCTTCCTATTATTAATTTTTTTTGAACAAAAGCAGTGAACATCTCACAAATTATTATAGGAATAATCATGGATAAACAAAAGTTTTTGGTATAATTGAATGAATAATCTAAATCTAAAAGCTTAAATGATGTAAAAAAAGAGTCGTTGTAAATTACTAAAAATTACAAATTGAACTTAAACCAAAAAGGGTTACTTAAATATTTATGAGATTATTTTTTATTTATTTTAAAATTTATTCAAGTATTCTAAAATAATAATAGTTTTGAAATTGTAAAAATATAAAAACAAATAATGCCCAAAAATTATCAAATAAATTCCCAAATAGAAAAAAAAATTAAGCAACTTACAAAGCCTGGATTTAATCTGATTGTATTTTATTAATAATTTTAATTAAATTTATTTTATTCTTTAACAAATTTATTGTTGAAATAAAAAAATTTTGCTTTCTATCTCTACAATATTAACAATTGTTCGTACCATGTGATAAAACTAAATTATTTCAAAGGAAACTTTGATACAAGTAAAAAATATTTTTAGTGTTAATTACACAATTTGGAATATTTCTAAATATTAATAACAAAATGGCCGTTCAAAATGGTATTATAGTAGAATTTAGCATCACCTCTTATTGTATAACAATATTTGTGTATATATTAGACGGTAAGCCATTGCTAGAGCACTAATATTTTGAGCATGTAAATGAAATCTGTTTTGTATATCTAGTAATATCTAAAATATCTAGTAAATAAATCTAGTAAATATAGTAAATCTTTCTTTTAGTATAGAGAGTTTTCAATTAATGAAATTCTATATTTAAAATAAATTTATTTACTCGATTCGATTATATAATTCGTGATATACATATACATATGTATTTGATTTCAAAGCTTGTTTTAAAACAAAATTTTTGATATTTCCAACTAGTTATCTAACTATTTTCGAACAAAAATTTATAAGCCCAAATGAAAAGCCCAAATTTTTGAAAATTTGAACTAAAAAAGATCAAATATTCGATTTCAAATTTTATATTGTATAACATTAAAAATTTTAAAATGTTTTTAAATAAAAAACTATAGATCTGAAATTTTAAGGCTACTCAAAAAATTCATACTATTTTTTACTTTCACTGAATTTCTTTCTTCTTTCACAATATAAAAGTTATAATATATAAAATTATAATATAAAAGTATAACATAAATTATAAGTATTAAAAATTTTTATAAAAATTACAATTTTTTTTTTGTGTAAACCTTCGTAATTAACTGAAAAATATCTAAAAATGTTCAATAGTGTAAAAACTACTTTTATAATTCAAAAAAAAATTAAATAAAAATTTTTATACTTTGTGTGGAGGCTTAATGTATACATATGTAGGCCGATCTTTTGCTTAAAGGTCGACTTTTAAATCAAATAATAGCTATATGTTGTATATAGTAAGTGTAAATTAAGTTATATTTTTTATACAATAAATATACGAAATCATAAATTGATCAAAATCAGCAGATTTTATTAGGTTATTTTATTGATTACATAAAATGTTCATTCAGAAAACGTCAAAAAATGAAAGTATGACTAAAAATCTTAACGTATCTTATATAAAACAAGTTTTTTGCATTTAAGGCAAATTCTAAAAGAATATTTAAATCGAAATCGGAATTGTAGTGAGTAAAAATTAAAAAGAATCAACTTTTTATTTTTATATGAAAAACAAGTATATATTTAAGATAAAATTTAATAAATGAGTAAGCTTGTTAAAGGTTCCTTCATTTTAAAATTG